CCTTCTGTGGCTTTCGTTTCGGCTGATACAGTGTTTTCCCCACAGTGGAAAGTTGCGTGCAGGGAGCGCACAAGACTTGTTGCTTACCAACATGTGCATGCAAACCCTTTCAGGACAGAAAGCTACAGCTTTCAATTGTATATATACACAGTCACTGTGTCAGCACACAATAGAGACAAATAATAATAAAGGTCAGCATAGCCAAGCAAATCGTAAAAAAATAGTATTGTGGAAATGTTTTATCCTGACCTTGAATAGAAATGTAAATGTTAAAGAAAGGAGGCCTCATGACTCTCTGCTTCATATATTTTATTTAACAAAGGTTTGACTTTAGATTCCTCATGATCTTCAGGTCAGTTGTGCTCCTACCTGTGCTTTATTTGCCCGTTAAACCAGTGACATGTACGTCACTCACTCCTCCCTGCTTGCAAAATCTCCCTATTAGGAAATTTAAAGTCATCAGTGTCCTTTGCTGGCTCCTCCTCCATCAAAACATGAAGGTATCGTGAAATGGAACACAACACTGTCATCTCTCAGTGCTGTTATTTGGGGGTGGTAGCGCAATTGATAAGACACATGCCTTTGGTGTGAGAGACCCAGGTTCAATCCCCCACTGTGACCCATCCACCACTGTGTCCCTGAGCAAGACACTAAACCCCTAGTTGTTCCAGAGGTGTGTGACCTCTGACATGTACAGCAATTGTAAGTTGCTTTGGGTAAAAGCGTCAGCTAAATGAATAAATGTTGTCCTTTAAGCACATTTATACAAGAAAGGTCACCAAGCGCACTTTGACCTTTGTAAATTTTGCCACTGCCTCACAGGGCCCTTACAAGGCTTCACTAACCGAAGGCCAAAGAAAGTCCTTCCTTTGAGCGCCTGTTTGTGCAGCCCTGGAGCAGCTGCTCTTTGAATTATAACTTAATTCTCATGTTCAGTGAATTTCTAGGTGGCTTTGCACCAGTTTGTAAATCCACCACCCTTAGGTGGTCTATCAAATCTGGCACATCTTCACTCACCAGTTATTCCTCCACTGCTGTAGCACATGAAAAGCACACTGTCTTTCACATAAAGCAGCCTGCTTTGAATGTACAGGTGAGCTTTTCTGTTCCAAAAGAACAGTGTACAGCCTGTTGAGAGAATGGCTTCATGAGTGTCAGGCCCCATCCACACTACAGTTTTAGTTTACTGTAGTGAACAACGATGTGGATTTGTGCATTTTATATTGAATGAATGTGGAGCTACCCTAAATTCCTTTCTCCTCCCCAGAGAAGATGGGGAGGGGTCAAAGTTGCTTTCTCTAAGTGCTAGCCCGACCATAAAACTGGCACCTTTTTGATTCCGAAGCTGATAACGCGGGGCCTGACTGTTAAACTGACAAAGGGACACAAGCCAGCCATTGGCATCTCCCTGAACAGCCTATCAAAACTTACCCCACCACACACGTTTCCGTGGAAACTGACCTTATTCTTTGTTTTATTACCACATCAAAAGGATACTCCTTGTCTCACTTAAGTGTGACATGTTCCAGACACTGAACTTTGGATGACAAAGGACTGCAGTCTCCAAAAGACTCAAAGCATCTAATTCAATTTAATTAAATCTTTAGTTACCTGAATATGTTTGCCTCTATTTGAGTTGTTATGTTAACTGTTGTTGCTATCTGTTGTTGATATTAGTGCTGAAAAGAAGTTACTTGTGCAATGTTTTATTTTCAGCAAGACACTCCTTCATCTAATGTAATCAATGCTTGTTCATAATACTTTCTTACAAAATTCCTTTAGAAATGATGACAAAGAAATGTTTTACTATACTCTTAATCGCCAGCTTGAATTTAAGGATGAATCAACAAATTCCCCGGTTCCTAAGGAGAGACGATCTTTGATTTAATCCAAGCTTTCCTCATGTAACCTGAGCTCCCCCAAGTGGGCGAAATAAGTATTACATGCCCTCGTCGGAAATGCTGTTAAATGTACAAATATCCTGACCAATAATGTGACAATTGTTTCCTGTTACCAAACGCCTAGAACAGTACAACCGTTCAACCATTGAGGTTCGATTGTGGAAAATATTTGATTATAATACGTGCAAATAGATTTCTTTTCTTTAGACATTAAGTTTGGAAAGGCAGTCCCTGGGGAAACCTGAGACGCCCCCTGGGGAACCACGCCCCAGGCAACAAAAGAGCGACACGCGACCTGCTCGCGCTCTTCACTCTTAGTCTCTTCCCTCTTCTCGCTCTTCCACCCTGCCCTCTGGATGCTTCGGCACGCGCGTGGCGTGCCTCGCCAGGCAACACGCCCAGACTCGGCCAGCGAAACAAACAGGCCTTTGTTCGCCTGAAGCTACACACCTGAAGTGCCGAGTAATCGATCTGCCTTCAGTTTGTTTTATTTTCTTTCTTTCTTTTGTTTGTTAAAGTTATCAGTCCGTTAAGTTACACTGGACTAATTCAGGAACGACCAAGTTCCATTTTAAGCCTTTTCGTCGAAGCCAACTTCACCGAGGTCAGACCAAGCCACGTGGTCTCGCCAACTGCAACCAAGGAAACCTGCAAACAGCCGAATTGCCAGACGGAGGAGGTTTTTCAATCAGACACGGAGAACCCCGGACAATCCCTAGCAAAAAGCCAGGATCGGCAGCTAGCGTGGGACCCGTGCAACAGGCCAAAAGCAGGCTGTCGACAAGCAGTAAGACTTAACACACGTCCTGTGATCAGATGTCCATTTTAACTCCTAAACTATAGCATTAGTTTACTTTCATTAGCTCTTCTATGCCGTATGAGTTGAATGCTTCCCACAATCGAACCTCCAGGCTCAGTGTTCAGCAAATGTTTATGTTCCCTGTATCCAACCATCTTTTTATCACCTTAGTTAGAGAATAAATTCACTGTAATATAATCAAGAGCTGTGTGTGTTGCCTATTTATAGTTCCTGCCAAGAGAATTGACCCTTTAGATATGAGACTGACTGACTGATTTAAGATAATTGAGCGATTATTAACTAACTGATCACTAGTAATAATTGTATAATTATTCAAAACTACCTAGAGGTCCGGAGACTCTAGGATTATAACAACTCCGGTGGTGCCCTTTACGAGGAAATTCTGATTTTATGAATAATAATTCATAATTGGGTATCAATTCTCAAATTTATTAAAATGCATAACTAATAAATTTAGGTCCACTAGATTACAAACGGAGAATTAAATTTATTATCTCCATCCACACTAGTGATTTACACTGGGCATGTGCGTGCCAGTGTAAACATGAAGCAGATGGTCTATTCCGTAAAATACATACAGATGAAGCATCAGACCAGTTTTTTGCATGCACCAATAATGAGCTGGGACTGTTACTGAATGTAACAAGAGTGTGGCGGAGGAAAACAGACTGGGCGTTGCCAAAGTAAACGGTGACATGCACAGTACAAGTATAGGCGGATAAGTTTTATTTTCACGGTACAGAATATTTTAATAAAAATACCATGTCAAAAACCCGGTCAGTAGCATCATGCTTCTGCTTTGCATGAGTTGAGACCCAATTAGAGCCGAGCGTGAGAGTCTGCGTCATCGTTTCTAAAGTCCTCCATTTTGGCCCGTCTGCACTAAAACACCCTCTGAAGTTTTAAAACACAAAACTGGGTCGGCAGCCCTTCCAAGCTTCTGTTTCAAGTCTTAGTCATTGTAGTCTGGATGGAAGGTGCAAATGTAGCAAGAAGTCTGTTTTAATTCAAATGTGGCAGTAATGTGGATGAGGCCTCACTCTGCTTCAGGCATCTTGGGAGAGACTTAAACACTGAAGATGAGCAAGTTAGTCTGCTAGGTGTGAAGAAACCAATCTCCCTGATATAAACAGTGCTGTTTATCACCACAGTGCAAAGTGCAACAAGCAGCATGTGGGTGTCATAAATATTTATATTCAAAAATACAACTACCAATCACTTTTTATTCAGACATGTAACACATTGACATCACAGTTTAAATATCTACTTTCTGTACAAATATAGAACCTGATCACTTTGTCTATGTGGCACAGTGGACCAGGAAGGGAGCAAAACTAACTAAATAGCCAAACAGGAAACTAAATGAGGTGAAACAGCAGTGGTCAAAAACAAGGAGGAATCAGGAAAACTGAGTGAAACAATTAGCCAGGCTCAGCCTTACTGCGTTAAAATACATTTATGTATCTACTCGCCACCTCTGAGATGGGTCATGAAGATACAACAATCAACAGTCACAGGGCAGGAGAAAAGGAGGTTCCTAACAGGTCAAAGTGCAGGTAAGCAACATAAACTGTTAAGGGAAAACAAACATGCATGAAACTATTCCTTTCACATAACTGGGCCACAACCACAGCAGGGACAGATCAAGAAGCAGAGAGAGAGAAAGGGAACACAGGTGTCTTATATAGCCTAAGCCTAATAAGGAGGTTGGCCAGAGGAGGAGTTAAGTCAAGGCTGCATTCAACACCACCACACCTTAACCTGCACCTGGGGAATCTTTCCCCACCACATCTACTTGACAGAGGAAAGTCAGCCAGAATTCACTGCTTCATGTCCGACTTGATTCAGATTCAGATGTGCGACCTCATGATTTTCACCTCAGCTGTGCTCATGCCGCGTTCGAGACCAGTCGGAACTGGGATTTTTCCCAGTTGAAACTTCCGACCTCAAAGCGCTCCAGGTGCATGATGGGGCATTTTTTCTAGTTGGAGGTCGCAGCATCAGACCACACTCTGCTGTCTTTTCCTGTTAAACAAGTGATGTGCACCTCACTCACTCCTCCATCTGCAGACCTCCATCTATCTATTGTCTTTATGGACAGTCTCTCTAGAGTTAGAAAGACAGAGAGTGAGAGATTCATGAGACTAAAAGATCACTTTTATTAATTTCATTAGTTGTACATTTTTAATAAGAAAATGGTAACCCCCCCCCTCCCCCCAACCCACAAAAGAATATCAATTGATGAATATGATTAATAGCATTATTCTATATATAGCATAAACAACATGAGTTTCCACTTCTCTCTCTGATGCAGGCCTCCTGTTTCTTATTGTTGTTGAATACAAACTCAGTGCTTTCAGGTCATCAGAGTCCAGATTCTGTAAAGAGGACACACAGTTCCACACGTCAACTAGCTGAGTTTGTGAGAAAAACTAAATCCCAACATGATTCAACCACCTTTAACAATTTTAAATATGTAATAGTAAACAATCAAACTTAATTTACCTCATGCTGTTGTGGATTCTGTTCTTTGTTGGCAGCTGAATGATGGAGACAATATTTGTAATCAGGTGACCAACATGAACATTTGTACTCTTTCAACATATTCACACAATTTTAGGGAAGTGAAAAAACAAAACCAAGATACAAACAGTACCTTTTTGAAGTTTCCTGTTTTTAACAACCAGACAGATGATGACCATTATGAGGAAAACAGTCAGGCCGCCCAGGATCACACTCATCAGGTTTGGTATTCTATCACTCTCTGTTAAAAGAAAGAAAATATAGTTAGACTCTATTTTCTCTTTAGTGGCTTGAGAAGTGCTAACATTAAACTGACAAATGTTAAGTTAGCTGTACTGTTTTTATCTTAAAAATGACTAGAAGTGAATCTGCACAAAGAAATCTTAAAGAGAATCTTACTTGTAGACTTTCTGTCAGCGTCATCATGAGATTCATCACTGCCTTTTAACAAAATGAAGATTATTTAATCTTGATTTTTTACTTTAAAATGTTTTTATCACATTTGTTTTGACAATGATTAAATCTCCACCTATGTCTTTTAGTTCAGTTATTAAACTTGCAAATATAGAAAGACACAACAGAAGAACAGGTACCACAGGATTTTATAATCTTACCTTCAACATTTAAATGTATCACACTTAAAATTGTCTGTCCCTCTATGAAAAATCCACACAAATACAGCCCAGAGTCAGAAAAATGGAAAATTTGAAATGAGCTCCAACACCTCCACTGTCTTTCTCAAAATTAAGACAGTGGAGGTGTTGGAGCTCATTTCAAATTTTCCATTTTCTACTCCATCACAGTATTTAGGATCGCTGTCAGCCTTGGTCATAATGGAGATACAGCTGGCCTTGGTTCTGTTGACCACTCTGAACCAGGTTGTCATGCCTGAATGTTTGGAAATGTTGGTAGTCGACAGTGTGACTTCTTGACCAGGCTGGACCTTCACAGTCTGAGACTCAGAAACTGAGACAGAGATCCAGCCTGAAACAAACACCAGAGACAATAAGAGATGTGCGTGTTATAGGAAGGTAAACAACACCTCTGAATAAATTATACATAAGAAAATAAGTCTTAATTGTAGAAGCAACAAAGTAGAGAGAAATGTGTTGGCAGTACTTACTGATGCTGCAGATAATTAAAGCTGTTGTCAAGATGAAGTTCATCATAGTGCGAATGATTGCAGCTCTGCAGTGTCTGTAGTTAAACTGTGCTCCAGGAAGGGTGCTGTCAACTTAAGAGGCGGGCTCTCTTATCATGTTATCCAGTTGGTCCACTGACCCCATACATGCTTTCAGAGTGCGACACCAAATGACTTCAAGAGATACGAGACAAAGTTCATTCATATAATTCACAGACTTTACATGGAGTTATGTAAACTGAGGTTCAGGAACTTCCCTCTACTTCACTCATTCCATCCACATGTGCTTCTCAAATCCAGTCACATGCACTCACGTATATAAGCTGTCTAACCCGTCTTCTCTCCCGTTTCTCAGTTCCCACATACCGCCCACCTAAACCCTGCTTGTTCACCTCTTTTAATGGGCAACACGGTGACCCAGTGGCCAGCACTGCGGCCTCGGAGCAGAAGGTTCTGAGTTTAGACCTCGCTCAGCCCAGGCCTCTCTGCACAGAGTCTGCATGTTCTCCCTGCCTTTGAGTGGTTGTCCGCTGGGCGCTCCGGCTTCCTCACTGTTTCAGCACCACAGTCCATCATAAACCACATAATCCATGAAGTTTACAAATGCATTGTCAGGTGAGGATCAAGGCTCCTCTTGCTTTGCTTAATTCATTAGATAAGCAATCTGCAAATCTTACCAAAATGTATTTTTTTTTACTTTTTTGAAATAAAACAGAAACACAAAGTAGTATTGATAGCCACAATTTCAGCTTGTAGTAAAACGGTGCAACGTTTTTAATGGGCATTTAGAATGTGAATTTGTGTGCAGAGTGGCAAAGCAATATATATATATATATAAAACAATTTATGCAAATTTGGAGATTATTCATTATTGGTCACAGTAAAAATAAATTCACTGAACAAAATTATGATGGAATTTCATCTCAGGAAGTATCATCTAAAGTTGACCACACAGCAATATTTCAGTAGAAAGCACACAGGTACGTTTTGGGACTGAGACAGTGTTTCATTCACGTGTAAAAATATTCTTTATTTTAACATCAAATCTCTTAAAAAGCAGCCATTTGCCTAAACACTTCTGACATGGAGCACCCAAACCAAAACAATACAAACAAAGAAAAATATTTACAATTGCTATACATGTCACACGCCTCTGGGAGTGTCTTGCTCAGGGACGCAATGGTGGATGTCTCACAGTGGGAATCGAACGCAGGTCTCCCACACCAAAGGTAAGCATCTTATCTATGCGCCATCACCACCCAATATTAAGTCAATCAAGGCAAAAGTTAATTCAGGCAAATAAATTTAAGCAAAAAGTAACTTCAAACCAAGCAAATTCATCCCAAGTAATTATTATTTAAACCAAAGCAGATTGTTAATCTAAACCAAGCAAAAGTTACTGTTAATAAAAGCAAAGACAGCAACGCATGAATGAAAAATTAATAAAGAGCTGAGATTAGCTCTCCTGCAGCGCAATCACCACACCTTCAAGTTCTTAAAGGAACTCCAGCACAGAGAGAGGAACAAAGAAATAAACACATTATATAAACGCAGCAGTTTGGCAGGTCTGGATGCAGAATGGGCCACATCAGGTCCGGATTCTGCTGACAGAGTGAGTCTACTTGTTCCACTGGAGTCATATAAAAGATTAGGTCAAATGAACGAAACATTCACTGAACGACACTAATTTGGATTCACCTGTTGAAAAGAGAGTAAACTAAATGCATTCCACTTGTGTTTAAACTTTTATTTAGTCTACACAAACGAAATATGATTTGTTTTATGTGACATAAGCAGATTTACTTAAAATAAATAGTGTTATATATTTTCCATAGCACGTTTTTTTAAGCAACGCATCACATCCACAGAGCAAACTGTTTGGCTAAAATACCATAAGGCAACGAACATTTGATGACAATATATGAAACTATGCACTCATATTTGCTTGACTGAGGCAATAAAAAAGGCATCTAATTGTTTCATTGAGGTTGTCTTCCTGTTCACCTTATTTATGAGAAGAAATTGCACTGCATTCTTTTGCAAAAATTCTCCATGTGTGTTTATTATCCTATATCATGTTTTTTTGCAAACTCTTAAATGATGTTTCGTATTGCGAAAATCAATCAAACAGGTGTTTGTTTATTCAGAGATGCTTTCATCTGTTTGGCAAATGAACTAATAATATTAAATAACATTAAGTTTTATTGGCCTTTGATACTCAGAGGTAATATTTAGATTTATTTTGCACTATAGTATCCATTTCATACGTTTCATGCTTCTGCCATGTCAGTTGGCGTGGAGTTTGCATGGAGGACCGCACACTCTCCCGTCAAGTTTGTTTTTCATAGATCAGAACCTTTGCTTGGGAAGTGGCGTACGCATGTTTATAAATGAGGCCCCAGGTTCACACAGTGACACTGTTTGGAGTAAAGCAGCCGTCATCCTGATCAATCCTGAGCTCCATCAGAGCGTCTAAATTGTTTCAGAAGTAAAAAGTTGCTTCCTTCCTGTGCTTTGACAGAAGTGTGAACATGTAGGCGGCTGTGGCTCAGGAGGTAGAGCGGGTTGGCCGTTAATCGGAAGGTCGGCGGTTCAATCCCTGGCTCCCCCTGGTTGCGTGTCGAAGTGTCCTTGGGCAAGATACTGAACGATTGTATGAATGTGTGTGAATGTTACTTTCCGTTTGAGCACTTAGGCTCAGTGTATGAATGTGTATGACTGGTGAATGCAGATGTACTGTAAAAGCGCTTTGAGTGGTCGAAAAGACTAGAAAGGTGCTATACAAGTACGGAGCACAAAGTTCTGATTAATAAGAAGATGCCAAACCATTTAAAATCAATCTTGAAGTGGACATGAAGCCAGTGGAATGAGGCTAAAATGCACTTTTTTGTTCCAGTTAGAAGTCTAACTGCTGCATTCTGGACTAACTGCAACCAATAAAGGAATGACTGAACATTTGAATTACAGTAGTATACCGTAGCCAAGATGTTATAAATGCATGGATTACTCTTTCAAAATCTTTTGTCAGCAGGTAGGGCTTGACTTTAGCCAACAGTTTCAGCTGGAAAAAAAATGCTTTTACAACAAAACTAATGTTTTTCAAATTTGAAGCACTGTCAAAGATCACACCCAGATTCTTGGATAATGGACGACTATATGATCCTAAAGTACCAATAACATCTACACAAGTACTTAAATCCCCAGGATGACCAGACACAACAAGCTCAGCTTTACTTTGGTTAAGATCTCTCAGGCAGTTAAGCAAATAGATTTGTCTATCATCCACAAAGCAATGAAAGGAAGGAAGATTCCTTCATTATTAATCTCCATCACCTGACATACACATTCCTTGTCCTGCTCTGTTCTTTAGCTATGACTGATAGTCAGTGTTGGGCAGTAACGCTTTACTAAGTAATATTATTACTTTTCCCAGTAACTAGTGGTGAAAACTATTTCCAAAACAGTAATAATATGACAGTTACTAATCCAAGTAAGGCTGTGTTACCGCTTTGTCCGAACTGAACGCAACATCATTGATGTGAATGCGAGACTATGGGGCAGGTCAGCGGCAGATCAAGTCGAGAAGCCGAACCTTATGTAGTTCAAGTCAGCTGTTAGCCAGAAAGCTAAAGGAAGAACAGAGAACGACAGATAGGCATATTTTGACAGCTGAGAGTATTTCTATTATTGTGTCACAGTCTAAGATGCAGAGAGCATTGTTGTCTGTTGTAAACTTTGTGCAACCAGCAAAACGCTTTCAACCGCAAATAATTCTACATCTAATTTAAGTAAGCCACATTTTGTTTTATAAAACTACTGGATACTGCTCTTATAAATGCACGTGTAGTAGTAAAAGTGTTATAGAAATGTAACTTCTTTTTAGACCCAGTAAAAACTAAAGTAACATTATTACTTTTTTAAGGAGTAATAAGTAAAAAGTATCTTTTTAAATTCCTGATAGCAGGGCAGAGATGTGTGAGCGAGAGCAGCTACCATTTGAATTGAACCACTGAGAACTGAGAAATCTCATGAATTTTGAGTAACTTGGCACCTGTTTGTAAATCTACCACCTCTAACTGTTAACTGTAGCCATAGCCTTGTTCTCTTCACTTTTCTTTTGAATGTTTTTAAGTAGTTTTATGTGTAGTAATAAAACAAACATATCTTATTGGCATTAATATTGCAACAAAACTGTTACAGGACATGTGGTCCGTTGTGAATGTGACTGTTGTAATTGGGCTGACCAGCCCTGGGTCGACATGAGTTTAGTTTAACTCTTTTTCAAGGAATATGTCTAAATCCAAACTTGTGTGTTGTGTCTTGGCCGTTGAGCTAACTGTTGGTAGAATTGTTGTGTGAACCAGTTAATATTACTATAAGAATAATGAGCAACAAGTGGCCCATCTCAAGGGAACTCTGCACTCTCGGGACACCTGATAGCCAGCTGGTTTTAATACAAGGTACTGGGCTGACCGTCTTTATTAAATTTGTAACTCCAGGTTCAAAAGTTTCCTAGTCAGCCCATTTCTTCCTCTCTCACTTTAGATTCCAGAGAGTAGGGCACTGAACACATAACCTGGACCGAGCTCCTTAAAGAGCCAGTTTGCTGGTTATCTGTAATGAGGTGTGTTGATGTAGGCAGTGTGGATGTTAAAGTAAGTAAATACTAACTTACCAGTCCGGAAGAGGGGAAGAAAACGAAGGCCAATTGGAAAAGCCATTTAGTTTCCCAAAGATTAACATATTTTCAAAAAATGCTCAAACAGAAGCCCCCAAAAGTTTCCCCTTTTCCTCCTCTTTTTGCTGCACTTTTATTCCTCCTATTGAGCTCTAGGGTCAACAACTTGTAATTGATTGGCAGGAAGGACCTCAGCCCTTTTCCAAACGTTCACTGGCTGCCAGAACTTTGCATTATTTCTCCTTTTATGGGTGGATGGCCCTCCTGTCCAGTAGTTGCAACACCCTTTTGCTCTAGTCAAAAATTAACAATAAAAATGATAAAACATATCATGTAAATTCAACAAACTATGACTGTGTGATCTTTTGTCATTTCCAGTGCATAAAGACCAGATATATACTGTAGGTCTCAATTTCAAAACAAGACAAAATGAGCATCTCTTCACTTATACACGTTAAATGCTGACACAAATGAAAATCACATACGAAATAAAGAAAAGACATCAAAACCGGGTTTTGAGTAAAAGAACCTTTGTTTTTCTTTGTAAAAGAGGTTGCTTTCATTTTCACAATGGCTGGTGACGTATAGGTTAATAGTGCGTTCTTTCCTGATCAGAACAATGATATTCACATCATCTGGGGATGCATATACAGAACATGACATCCTTACAAAAAACAAGTTTTAAAGTTAACTAAAAATGTATATTTACATAAAAAATAATATAAACTTCAGAAGAAAACTCCTGACGTTCCCCTCTTTATCACACCTTCTTTCACACCTCCCCTCATGTGCGCGAGATACACACATCTGTGGTCAGGGACCCCTTCTGTGTTTAACTTGTGGTTATTTAACTACTTTAAACAAATCCTTATCTTAAACATGTACAGCCTATAGAGTGAACAGTTTCATGTGAGACTGTAAAAGTGTTGCTCTGCTTCAGTAAATGCTAAAACACCATGTTAAAACAGCAAATCTGTCAGAGGTGTGAAATGCACATACAGACACCTACCTGATAGAGAAAGTGCTGTTTATCACCACAGTGCAAAGAGCGGAAACTGGCATGTTTGTGTCATAAATATTTATATTCATAACTACAATTACCAATCATTTTAAAATATTTTTATTATTATTTATTAGTCTTTTTTTTTATTTAGACATGTAACACAGTGACATCACAGTGAAAATATCCAGTTTCCAAAGCATCTGTACAAAAGTAGAACCTGATCACTTTGTCTACTTGACAGAGGAAAGCCAGCCAGCATTCACTGCTTCATTTTCATGCTTCATTTCAGACTTGATTCTTTAAGAGATTTGATTCCTCATAATTATCACCTGCTGTGCTCAGACCACACTCTGCTGTCTCTTCCTGTTAAACAAATGGTGCTCGCCTCTCTCACTCCTCCACTGCTGCAGACATCCATCTATTTTCTATATGGACAGTCACCAGTTCAGATAAAATTAGCAGACAGATGGTGAGAGAGTCATGAGAGTAAAAAAAACACAATCACATGTTTAGTAATTTTAGTAATTGTAATCTTTTCCAATAAGAAAATTATCGCTCCTTCCATCCGTCCATGAAAGAACAGCAGTGGATGAATATGAGTCTATCTGCTGGCAGCATAAACAATATGAGTTTCCACTTCTCTCTCTGATGCAGGCCTCCTGTTTCTTATTGTTGTTGAAAACAAACTCAGTGCTTTCAGGTCATCAGAGTCCAGATTCTGTAAAGAGGACACACAGTTCCACACGTCAAATAGCGAGATCACAAATTGTCATGATTCAACATATTAAAACAATAATATATATAGTAAATGATAAAACGTGATTCACCTTACGCTGTTGTGGAATCTGTTCTTCATTGACAGCTAATAAAAGAGACAATATATCTAATCAGTTAACTGGCAGTCCTTTTCGATTAAAAACTGCTAAAAGCCTAAACAGCATAATTATACTGAAATACATTCATGCTGAACATAAAAAATACAGTCATCAATAAATAAGATATATAGTTAGTTCAGAAGTACCTGTCTGAAGTTTCTTGACTTTAACAACCAGACCAATGATGACTGTTACAAAGAAAACAGTCAAACCGCCCAGGATCACACTCATCGGATTGGTTATTCCATCTCCCTCTTCTACAACAAAGATCATTAAATTAGACTAAACGTTAGAAAACAGAATCTAGCTGATCTGTTTTCCTGAAAATAATGTGACAACTAGCACAAGGAAAGAAATCTTTAAGACAATCTTACTTTCACACTTGCTGTCCACGTCATCATGCGACTCATCGCTGTCTTTTAATGACATGAAGATAAATTCAGTCTTGATTTGGCAGATTTATATATAAATTATTGAAGCCACTTTGTTGCACACATGATGTTGTTTTAAGACAATTATCAAAATATTTTTTGCAATATAAGCAGAAAAACACACAGCTGAATAATGGGAACCCAAAGATAGAAATACTTTACAATACTCTTACCTTTAATGTCTAAATGTATTACACTGAAACTTGGATGTCCGTCTACATAAAATCCACAGATATACAGTCCAGAGTCAGATAGACCCACTTGTTTGATTTTGAGAAAGACAGCAGAGATGTTGGAGCTCATTTCAAATCTTCCATCTTGATATCCATCACAGAATGTAGCTTGGCTTTTAGGTGTGATCATAACAGAGACACAGCTGATGCTGGTTCTCTGGACAAGTCTGATCCAGAATGTTACACCTTCATATTTGGAAATGTTGGAGCACAGCAGTGTGACGTCTTCACCAGACTGGACCGCCACAGTCTGAGACTCAGAAACTGAGACAGAGATCCAGCCTGAAACAAACAGCAGATGACAAGAAGACTTTCTAGTTATAAAGTAACATGACAGTAAACAATATAACAATATAATAAAACTCATCAGGTGAGTGATTAGTAAATATGTTTGAAGTTGGGAGTAATTCAGTGGCAGTACTTACTGAGGCTGCAGAGAATGAAAGCTGTTATCAAGGTAAAGTTCATCATTGTGCGTATGACTGAAGCTCTGCAATGTCCGTAAATGAAGTGTTCCCCATGAAGTGTGCTCTCAATGCAAAGAGGCGGGCTGTTTTGTTGCTTATCATGTTGCTCAAACTGACCACATAAATGCTTTCAGGAGGGTTGATGCAAACATTTAGCCTCACAGAGCACAAGATATATTTCAGAAAATGTTCATTCATAATAATCTTCACCCCAAAGTACATGCAATACAATGAACAAAGACATTTTCAGAATGCAAAGGTTTTACATAACACCAGAAAGCTGAGAGGTGAGAAGAGAGAAAAAAAAAGAAAGCTGAGAGGTGTGATGTGTAGAGTCACAGTAAGACGCTCAATTTAAGGTAATAGTAAACATGTTAATGTCTGACGGTATTTAGATGGGAATGTGTGCTGAAAGTGAGCCAGGATTAAATATTGGACACATTATAGTCCACCTGTGGCCTTGAACCTAGCTGCCACACATTGTGCTATGATTTAACAGGAACCTGTAGCGTCCTATTGTCAGGCTTTATTAGTGGATGCTGCTCTCTGTGAATTCTGTCTGGAGGCTGATATCAGGGGACTGTGGTGACCTGAATGTTCCTGGACTCATTTGTGGATGACTATATATATATTACAGGGATCATGTTTGAAAGTAGTCTGCTTCTTTGGGGTCCATGATGACCATGGATGTATAAACGTGGCCCTCCATGATGTTAATGTCCTCTGACATCAAGCTGCTGATCTACTGCAGATGACTTAAGAGAAACCCTGTGAGACATCTGCTGTTACACCCCCTACAGGCAAGACTGAGACAAATAGTTGTAGTGGACCTAAATTTATTAGTTATGCATTTTAATAAATTTATGAGAATTGATACCCAATTATGAATTATTATTCATAAAATCAGAATTTCCTCGTAAAGGGCACCACCGGAGTTGTTATAATCCTAGAGTCTCCGGACCTCTAGGTAGTTTTGAATAATTATACAATTATTACTAGTGATCAGTTAGTTAATAATCGCTCAATTATCTTAAATCAGTCAGTCAGTCTCATATCTAAAGGGTCAATTCTCTTGGCAGGAACTATAAATAGGCAACACACACAGCTCTTGATTATATTACAGTGAATTTATTCTCTAACTAAGGTGATAAAAGATGGTTGGATACAGGGAACATAAACATTTGCTGAACAATGAGCCTGGAGGTTCGATTGTGGGAAGCATTTGACTCATACGGCATAGAAGAGCTAATGAAAGTAAACTAATGCTATAGTTTAGGAGTTAAAATGGACATCTGATCACAGGACGTGTGTTAAGTCTTACTGCCTGTGACAGCCTGCTTTTGGCCTGTTGCACGGGTCCCACGCTAGCTACCGATCCTGGCTTCTTGCTAGGGATTCTTCGGGGTTCTCCGTGTCTGATTGAAAACGCCTCCTCCGTCTGGCAATTCGGCTGTTTGCAGGTTTCCTTCGTTGTAGCTGGCGAGACCACGTGGCTTGGTCTGACCTCGGTGAAGTTGGCTTGACGAAAAGGCTTAAAATGGAACTTGGTCGTTCCTGAATTAGTCCAGTGTAACTTAACGGACTCATAACTTTAACAAACAAAAGAAATAAAGAAAATAAAACAAACTGAAGGCAGATCGATGTCTCGGCACTTCAGGTGTGTAGCTTCAAGCGAACAAAGGCCTGTTTGTTTCGCTGGCCAAGTCTGGGCGTTGCCTGGCGAGGCACGCCACGCGCGTGCCGAAGCATCCAGAGGGCAGAAGGGAAGCGCGAGAGGAGGGAAGAGGAGAGTGAAGAGAGCGAGCAGGTCGCGTGTCGCTCTTTTGTTGTCTGGGGCGTGGTTCCCCAGGGGGCGTCTCAGGTTTCCCCAGGAACTGCCTTTCCAAACTTAATGTCTAAAGAAAAGAAATCTATTTGCACGTATTATAATCAAATATTTTCCACAATCGAACCTCAATGGTTGAACGGTTGTACTGTTCTAGGCATTTGGTAACAGGAAACAATTGTCACATTATTGGTCAGGATATTTATACATTTAACCGCATTTCCGACGAGGGCATGTAATACTTATTTCGCCCACTCGGGGGAGCTCAGGTTACATGAGGAAAGCTTGGATTAAATCAAAGATCGTCTCTCCTTAAGAACTGGGAATTTGTTGATTCATCCTTAAATTCAAGCTGGCGATTAAGAGTATAGTAAAACATTTCTTTGTCATCATTTAAAAAGGGATTTTGTAAGAAAGTATTATGAACAAGCATTGATTACATCAGATGAAGGAGTGTCTTGCTGAAAATAAAAACACTGCACAAGTAACTTCTTTTCAGCACTAATATCAACAACAGATAGCAACAACAGTTAACATAACAACTCAAATAGAGGCAAACATATTCAGGTAACTAAAGATTTAATTAAATTGAATTAGATGCTTTGAGTCTTTTGGAGAATGCAGTCCTTTGTCATCCAAAGTTCAGTGTCTGGAACATGTCACACTTAGGTGAGACAAGGAGTATCCTTTTGATGTGGTAATGAAACAAAGAATAAGGTCAGTTTCCACGGAAACGTGTGTGGTGGGGTAAGTTTTGATAGGCTGTTCAGGGAGATGCCAATGGCTGGTTCGTGTCCCTTTGTCAGTTTAACAGTCAGGCCCCGCGTTATCAGCTTTGGAATCAAAAAGGTGCCAGTTTTATGGTCGGGCTAGCACTTAGAGAAAGCAACTTTGACCCCTCCCCATCTTCTCTGGGGAGGAGAAAGGAATTTAGGGTAGCTCCACATTCATTCAATATAAAATGCACAAATCCACACTGTTGTTCACTACATAGTTTAATCATTTACTTTGCCAAACACATTATTGTGATTATTATTGTTGTTCTGTGGACTGACTAAATCATGCTTGTGGCCCATTCATGGTAATCAATACAGATGCTTTATGCAAAGTAAATGATTAAACTCAGAAATGCACTCAAAAGTTTGTTGTGTATAATTAGTGTATAAATTCAATGTAAGTGACTACAATCACCCTAAAACAAGAATGACTGTGTTTTTGTGACCTTAGAATGAGCTCTACAGAGGGGAATGGGGGAGAGGCATCCTCTTCCACATGTTTCTACAGTAGCCCAGAAAGGACAAACCAAGCACTGGCTCCAGAGAGGGCCTTTTGGGTTTGTCATGTGTTTCATGACCACCATAAGTTCCTGTACACGTAGAAGGGAAGGGTGATGGGAGGAGTATTCAGCTGGCTGCAATCTGCAACCTCATCTCTAGATGCCACTAAATCCTACACAGTGGCCCTTTGAGAAGACAAAACATTGAGTCCGTACATGTTCTACGTGTTGCTGTTATCTCTAATCTGTGAAAAGGGTGCAGGGTTTTTGGTTGGGGAACAGGAGGGTGGCTGATTTAAATCCAGCTCAGACAACTGCCAGGTTGCTGGACATGGCAGTCCCATAACTGTAGCATCTCTGCAGCAGTTGCATGTCTGTGGTCCTGTGTGTGTCCATGTGTTTATTTTGCGTGAATATAGCTAAGTACGCTGCTGGAAGACAACGAGAATTTAAGAGTCTCGGAGGTCTTTCTGGGTTAGGGTTGGTTTTATGGTCAAAACTGCCCAAACAGCACTTGGGAGTGGAGCAAACCTTTCACCCCCTCCTTTGGGGTACTTCAGCTGTCTGGTGAGGGTTGATACCCCCCCCCCCCCCCCTTTCACACAAAGACAGATTATGGTTTCTTCCATCTTGGGATAAAATAATGAAACCAACTACAGAACTACACTACAGAAACCTGGAATACTATCAGTGACTGAAAAACTTGAAGCAAGAAATGTGGGTATTTGTCAGGAGTCTTGATGATGCACCAAGTCAATATTTCTCATATCTAGTTGTGCAAGTGTGCGTTTCTACCTTTCCACCAAAAAGCAGATACCACTGCATCTTGTGAAGGTCAGTTAGTCTGTTTTTGTAAAGTGAGTAAAGGGGTTAATATGTACTTTCAGTTTTTGAAGAAGCATGTATTTTGGTCTTTCAAACCTGCTAGGCCTTTGAGGTGTGGTCTTCCTATGGTACAGACTTCACTGCTGCTACATGTTGCCTGCTGGTTGTTACACTTTGTCTTTCCAACACATCTTTACTTATATAGCCGCAGATTGTTTTGTTAGCTTTTACATTATGAACAAGACTAGACTAGAGTTTACGTTTTCTTTTTTTACTTCCAAATATATGACTTCAGAAGCGTCGCTATTTTCTTCTTTCAGTGACGTGTACCTCACTCACTCATCCCCTTTGTCTATCTAAACACTCATCTATGTCCGAAGGGCAAGCTTAGAGATTTTGCCAAGAGAAGGGACAAATAAAGAAGCTACCAAAGTCATCATTAACAAAAAGCTACCTGAACATTATTACAAAATCACATTGTGTCTGGTGAGATTGCAACACCAGGGTAAATCCAGGACATTGTGCACGACTGTCAGTACAACTAAAGACTCGTGTCATACACTGTTCCTGTGAGTTTTTCTCTTGACTGATACTGTTTTCACTCACTTAAGTGTTATTGTTTTACTTGTTTATGTTTAATGTGTTAAGTTGCTGTCATTGAATGCAGCACTTTAAAGGAACGAGGCAGCAACAGGATGGAGCCTTTTTGGTATTGTGCTGCTTCCATTTAGCCTTTTAAGTTGTCATGGGCGCTCAGTTTGAAGAGTCTCTCTCTGTATCACCTTCTTGAAGACAGGAATCATCAACTGCAAGAGAAGCCTGAACACTAAATGAAGGCTCTTTTGCAGTCATTTCAGGACCTTAATAATATAAGTTGAGTTTTGAGTCCAGTTAACTCTTCACAACTAAATCCCAATTGCTTGCTGGATCACCATGGAGACAAGTCTTACAGAAAGCACATGTGCCTGGGCAGCCATGTGAAGCACGTTAACTACTTCACATGTGGAACATCCATGTTATGACCCTAGGGTCGTATGTTTGGTTTGGGGTCTGTTCCTTCTCTCTCTTGCGTGTTCTGTCAGTGTGAAACACAGCTCCTTTAGTTTCTTAACCTGTGTTGATTATCGCCTGAGAGAGTAGTTTTGTGTTGGTTTACACTTTTGTCAAGACTGTAATAAATATAATATTGTTACTCTTCCTCCCCCTGGACTTACCATCCGGAGGAACGTAACAATCCAAAACAAAATATTTCCCATCTGATCACAAGTAGTTTTCAGTCTGCTGCCGAGTAAAACATCTCACATCACATCACAAAACAGAGTTTTTCAGATTCTTCATCTGTTGAGCTGTACTGTACATTTGTACGGATCTCAGTTTACAGAGGAAGACACTGTCGTCTCGCTGTGCAAGTATGAGGCTGCACAAGGCATTTTTTCTGCAAGCAGGATGCTGATGTATGAAGTTGAGAGTGAAATGAGTGTGATTAGTGTGATCTGTGAAGAAGGTGCCAGTTTGAAAAGAGATGGATTTACTGCTGATGGGAACTAACTGCACATCTACATATAACAACAAAACTATCATCACATTGGAAGAGAAATTAGAAAAGCTGGTGTACAGTTTTTGTTTTTTATGTGGTTTCTTTTGCAGAGAGCTGAAGGCCAGTCCTCCTGTGGCTTTCGTTTTGGCTGATAGACATAGTGTTTTGACCACAGTGGAAAATTACGCAGAGGGGGGGTGCACAAGTCAAGTTGCTTACAAGTACAGCCAGGGCAGAAAGCTACGGTGTTGTATTGTTCATATACACATTCACTGTGTCAGCACACAATAGAGAGAAAAAATAATAAAGATCAGTATAGCCAAGCAAATCTAGATTAGTGAATGTTTTATCCTAAACCTTAATACAAATGTAGAGGTTAAACATATTTAGTCACATGACTATCTCTGCTTCATAACAGATTTTATTAAAGAAAGGCTTGACCTCAGATTTCTCATGATCTTCAGGTCAGTTGTGCTCACACAACACTGTGCTTTCTCTTCTTGTCAAACAAGTGATGTGTACATCATTCACTCCTCCCTGCTTGCAGACTCTCCCTATAACATGACAGTCTCCTCCTCCATAACTCATTGTGGAGGAGGAGACTGTTACATGTCCTGTGTGTTTTTCATTTTTTCATTATGATCAAGGACAAACATTATAAGTACGACAGAGACTGAGAGCAAGAGAGAAAGAAGCATGTGAGAATCAAAGCTAGAGAGGCTGGAAGTCAGTCAGAGTTGGGGGTGCTGATAAAACTCAGTCTATATAATGACATCATACTAATGCTGGACGACATTCATGGTTGGTGCTTTCATTTGAACATATCAGATCATTTTTATCTCATGGTTATTAATAACTATTTACAACAGTTTTAGAGCAACAGCAACTACACAGGCAACAACACTGAACTAATATGCGGATGTGTCTCAGGAGGTAGAGTGGGTCACCCACTGATCACAAGGGCAAGACACTGAACCCCAAATTGGGTGATTGAACCGACGTGTAAAGCGCTTTGGATGAAATGACTTTTTACATGTAGCAATCTACCATTAACTGCAAGGAGAGAAAGAAGGAACGAGACGGCGCTTCAGTGTTTTCACATGTGATAAAAAGCTCAGATGTGATTTGACTCACAGCACAAGGAATGTAACAACGGACTGGATGATAAACGGACCCCTACTTCCAGCCAACGATGTGTCAGTCCCGTCTGACCGAAAGATATGGCTCCGTTCAAACAGCCGTAATTCACAAATTCCCACATCCATGACAGAAATTAAAATATTTAAGATAATAAATCTCTTATTACAAAATTTGAATTCCTCCTACCTGGTACCCTACAATTATAATACTGGAAATTGTTCTGGTGCAAAAATCTATGCAGTTGTTGTTGCATGCACCTGTTGACAAATAAAAAGGGAGGACCCATTTTTCTGCAGACACATTTGTTTTTCTCTTGTCTTAGGGTAACTAATGAAAGTCCAATGCTACACACTGTCCAAAACAAAGTGGCCTAGAGGTTACGCCAAATCAACATAAACAGTGTACAACATGTCTTTGAAGAGGGGGAAAATGGGCCCTACGTAGTGTTCCAGGTGTTGGACACTAGAGATGGAAAGGACGAATTATGGAATCTGTTTATTGTTGCAGCTGTACATCTCTTCAGCTGGAACAACATGTGAATCTCTGCCTTCACTTGAGATCACATGTTCATTTTTGTGCACCCTCACAACATGACATCAGTCTGAGACAAAACATAGTGTGAATATTCAGCATTTCTAGTCACACTGGATTGAACTGAAAGGCTAACAGTAACTTGATATTCAAAAGAAGATTGTGATTCTCATTTTTTGGAATTTTACACCTCTATAGCCTGCATTATTTTGTGTATCAGGAGACCCGGTGGTTCATTGTTGAAAGAGATTGGTATGCAATTTATAAAGGTAGCATTACTCATAGTCTTTGACAACAGGAAGTTGTTTGATATTTGTGGTCAAGACAGACAATGTTTGTCTCCACAGGGGGCTAGTTAATTATTTGCTTTACTATTTTCAACATTCTGTACAATTAAAGAGCCTGATATTATTTAGACAAATGTAAATAGTTCAGTTTTCACTGTTTCTTTTTATACTTTGCCACAAAGCTTTGACTTTAAAGACCTTGCAGCTTTAAAGTCAGTTGTGCTCAGACGTGTCAGATGTGTACCTCACCCCCTCCTCCCGCCACCTCTCAGACCATCTGAGTCTTCCTGTAAGTTTGACAGTTATTGGTGTCCTTTGTGGCTCCTCCTCATCAAATATATACCACCCACACAAAAAACACAAGACAACAGATCCAGGCAGGGGAAACTGCTAATAGTGATCACAGTTACGGTGATCAGCTGCTGATATGGATCAAAAAGCTTGGGACAGAATCATTCCTACACACATGCTGTTTAAATCATTTGCTTATAATAACCAACTAGTCTGCTTACAGTGTTCATTTTGGGGCTTTTCATACATGACAACATATGGAAAAAAGTCATAATATTGTATGAATATGTTTAACTCTGAGCAGCGCTGATAGCCTGCAGTTTATATTGAGGCCTATTACACATTTACAAATGCAGTGCCTATTTGCACTACTGACGTTACCATATTTGTAAACAGCACAATACTGTTTTAGACTATAACCTAATTATATTTTAAACTACAGTAAGCTATATTTTATATACAGTACTTTACTATTGTACAGTGTATTTGAATTATACAGTGCAGTAATTTGAAAAGCAGTACTGTATTTGAAACAGTCAAAATAAATTCAGTAAAAACTGAAGCTGACCGTTTCATTACTTTATATTCATGTAATAAATATACAAGTGTTGGTCAGATGGTAATCTGCATGAGAAATACAAAATAAGAAAATTACATAATAATCGTCTGTTTACAGTACTACATAATATGAGTTCCAGTTGCTTCCTGAGTCTATCTGCTGGCAGCATAAATAACATGAGTTTCCACTTCTCTCTCTGATGCAGGCCTCCTGCTTCTGATTGTCTTTGGAAGGAACCTCAGCGCAGCAGAGTCCAGATTCTGAAAGAATATCAAGGATTTAGAGTCACATACTGTAACACACACACTGTAGCTGAGTTTGCCAAAAATATGTAAACTAGTGCAGTTGTGGGTTGTACCACAGAGGAATCATTTAAACTAAGACCATAACTCAAAGATCACCTTGTTGCCTTCTGGATGTGGTTTGTCATTCACAGCTAAACAACAGAAGGCAAATGTCTGATTAGTTCATTATTAGTGACCAAATGCTTTGCTTTGGATTTGTGCATCATGTTGACACCATTTGCAACAAAATAAATCTACTGTACCTGTCTGAAGTTTCCTGATTTTAACAGCCAGAATGACGACTATAGTGAGGAAAACAGCCAGACCAGATAGGATCACACTCATTAGGTTTCTCATTCCATCAGGTTTTTCTAAAAGAAAAAAATCATAGAATTAGATTCTGGTTTTTAATCTAGTAGTTTCAGAAATGGTCAAGACTGAAATGACTGACTCTATGGTAACTTGCACAATGAAACACATCTTAAGAGAGAAAAGAAGAACCTTACTTTCTTCAAAAGTCTTCAAATCCACTTCATCATCAGAGTCACCACTACCTTTTTTAGAGAAAGAGGGGATAAACTCATCTGAGACATATTGGTTTCTTGTTGTCTTTATACAGTATTTATATTACTGTGACATTATTTTTTAGATATATGGTGAATCTAATGGAAAATTATATGTCTGAATAAGGCTTGACTACAATCTTACCTGGAACATTTAAATGTGTTGCACTGGCAATGACTGTATGTTTGTCCATGTAAAATCCACAGAAATACAATCCAGAGTCAGATAAATCCACTTTTTTGATTTTAAGAAAGACAGTGGAGACATTGGAGCTCATTTCAAATCTTCCATTTTGAAATCCATCACAGGGTGAAGCTTCGCTTTCAGACCAGTACATGGAGGAGATACAGCTGGGCTTGGTTCTGTTGATCAGTCTGAACCAGTCTGTCTGAGTTGGAGTTCTGGAAATGTTGGAGCACAGCAGAGTGACTTCTTGTCCACGCTGGACCTCCACAGTCTGAGACTCAGAAACTGAGATCCAGCCTGAAACAAACAGCAGAGACAACAAGAGATTTATCCTTGAGTGGATAATGCAACAGTTACTGTAATGAGGCAACAACAACAGCAACTATTAATTCAGTTCCAGTTTACAATTTTAAATTCTGGTTGTTACATTATTTGGTGCTGAGAATAGCGAAGTGCCAGTACTTACTGAGGCTGCAGAGAAGGAAAGCTATTATCAAGGTAAAGCTCCTCATTGTGCATTTAATGGTGTCACTGCAAGATAAGTCTGTACTACTGTAAGTAGGACTTATAAGCACTACTACTGAGCTCTTATAAAGGGGTTTAGAGAGGCGGGGCGTCTTTTGTTTTTCATCTTTCCGCTCACACTGGCCTATCAATGCATGCCTTTGCATATGTATTTAAGTTTCGAGCTAATTTCTAACAACATAAACTCTGAATGATGACTTCACATGAGTCTCTACAGTACCACGTTATATCTGTGTCAGATGCAGTTTGAGACCAAGCAAGAACCTCCTGGTCTGACAATTAAAGCCATGCAGAAGTAACTTAAAGAGGTGGTATTATGCTCATTTTCAGGTTCAAAATCCTATTTAGGAGTTGTACCAAAACAGGTTTACATGGTTTAATTTTCAAAAAACAGTCAGAGCAGACAGAGAGAGACAACCAGGTGTGGGTTGTGCTTCTGTGTCTGAGAGGAAAAGCAAGGTGAGATGATTAGCCTACTGTGGTTTGTGATTAAACACAAAAATTAAAATGAATTAAAATGTAATATTTTCAGCTCCTTGTGCTAGTGTTATTTTCTAATCAATGTTTCATTATGACCATAAAATTGAATGGACCCCAGTGAGAATAGAACATTTATACTGGTGCTGATGGGGTTCCAAATAAAAATTTGAATCAGCAGGTCAGACCTTTTAAAAAAATCAGTAACTGGAATCAGCCAGGAAAAATGTAATCGGTGCATCTCTTACTACAGTGATAATCCTGTGTGTGAACCGATATTAGGCTGATACGGTAGATCTACTGTTGGGTTGGGTTTTGCGCATTATGATGTTAAGTGGCAGATCAGTTGGCCTGCTGCTGTTAATATATATATATATATATATATATATATATAAATGGACTAGAGCGGAAAATATGGATCTGATGCAATGCTACTAAACAAGCAATCACGGTGAGAGGGCTTATATGCAGAGACTGTGGGATATATGGATGCTTCGAAACCCATCATCAACACTGACAAAGAAACAACTCCTAGCTCAGTGTTCTAACATCCACAAACGGCAACTCCTATCACAACTACAAATTGATGAGGTGCAACAAATATGCTATGTCAAGGGGGAGCCAGGACAACAGGTCAGCGGGGAGATGTCATCGTCATCCCCACACTCAGAGATTGGGTAACAAGCCCCAATAACAACAAGCCCTTTCGGCACAGAATCACTCAACATAAGGGCGACTGACATACGATTGAAGATCATAATCAAGCTGGACCCCCAAGTACAGCGACCAAGATTGCCAAGGCTAAATGACAAAGTACCCTCTGAAAGTCTGCTAGAAGATGTGAATGCAGCACTACATACTATCCCTACTAAAGCCATAACCGAGACCAATAAGCTGATGTACACCACAGCAACAGTGATCCTATACATGCTAGGCTATAATATGAACACCACAAGCCACAAAGAGTATTAACCCCCATGGAGGAGAAGGCTAGAGGCAAAGATCAAGGCAACACGACGAGAGGTTAGTCAGCTCTCAGAGCTACAGAAAGGTGCAAGGAAGGTGCTACCTAAGAAATACAACAACCTGTCGATACCTGAGGCTCTGGAGACTGCCAAACAAAGACTTAATGCTCTGGCTACCCGCCTAAAGAGATACAGGGGAGAAGCAGGAGCCAGGAGAAAAAAACAGATGTTCTCCACCGAACCATCCAAAGTGTACTCTCAGTGGCAGGGTAATAACATAAGATCAGATCCACCCAGGGCTGAGACTGAACAGTACTGGAAGAACATATGGGAGAAAGAGGCATCCCACAACACCAATGCTCAGTGGCTAGTGGATCTAAGAACAGATCACAGCAATCTCCCAGAACAAGAACCAGTAACCATTTCAACAGCAGAAATCCAAGAAAGAGTGGCAGCTATGAAGAGCTGGACATCACCAGGCCCTGGCATGATCCACATTGACTGGCAGAAGAAACTAACTGCACTCCATGAACGCCTGGCAGCACAAATGAACCAATTGCTGATGGATGGGACCCACCCAGAGTGGTTAACCCTATGATGGACAGTCCTGATCATGAAGGACCCCCAAAAGGGAACAATCCCATCCAACTACCTGCCAATAACCTGCCTCTGCAAAACATGGGAGCTCCTGTCAGACATCATAGCGGCTAAGATGAGTAGGCACGTGGCTCAATACATGGACAGGGCCCAGAAGGGAATGGGTAGTAATACCAGGGGAGCCAAGCACCAGCTACTGGTTAATAGAGCAGTCACTCGAGACTGCAAGACCAGGCAGACCAATCTGTGCAACGCCTGGATTGACTACAAGAAAGCCTACGACTCAATGCCAAATACATGGATACTAGAATGCTTGGAAATGTACAAGATCAACAGGACACTAACAGCCTTCATCAAGAACTCTATGGGGCTGTGGAAGCCAACTCAAAGCCAATTGCACAAGTCACCATCAAGTGCGGCATATACCAAGGCGATGCACTATCCCCGCTGCTGTTCTGCATAGGCCTGAACCCCCTCAGCCTGATCATCACAAAGACTGGCTACGCATACTGTTTCCGAAGTGGAACAACCATCACTCACCTCCTCTACATGGATGACATCAAGCTGTATGCCAGAAATGAGCGAGACATCGACTCACTGATCCACACTACCGGGATCTACAGCAATGACATTGAAATGTCGTTTGGACTGGACAAGTGTGGTCGCATGGTATCAAAAAGAGGGAAGATGATCAGAAGTGACCAGAAGGCCACATTGCAGATGTTCAGGACAGCTACAAATACCTTGGGGCTTTGACATTCTTCTCTTCTAACAAAAACATCTTCAGGTTTTTTTATCAAAGCCCAAAATCTCTCCAGGACCCTTTGCTCTGTGCAAATGCATACAACAATCAGCAAGCATGTGAATGTAGGTGTGTGTGCATGGGGGGTGCGTGGAGGGCAATAAAGGCGGGGAAGAACGAGGAAAATTGCACATGTGGCGCGCAGAGCTTAAGCAAGGGTGAGGACCCAAAATGGCGGGCACAGGTGGAGTTTAGGCTACATGCTGTGTGTTTCCATATGTTGAGTGAGAATGTGTGTAAAGCGTGTAAATGTGTATGTGTGTGTAGGCTAATACAGGAAAATAGAAAAAAGAACAACACACAAAGCATGGTATATTAGATCCTGGTTGCCAACTATATAACTACCACTTTATCACACATAGTAGCCTACTTTCAGCGGCCATGGTGCTGGAGTTTAGTCCTGATAAAGTATAGTTACTGACTCTGCACACAGTGGCTGTAAGTAACACAGGTAAAAATTCACAAAAGTAATACGTTTTCTCATGTAGCTCATGCTTTTATCCGAATCAACTGAAAATTGCTATACATGTCAGAGGTCGAACGCCTCAGAAGCAACTAGGGGTTAAGTGTCTTGCTCAGGGACAAAATGGCAGATGGGTCACAGGGGTGGATTGAACCCAGGTCGCTCACGCCAAAGGCATAGTCTTATCCACTGCACCATCGCCACCCATAAATGCAATAACTGCCACTTCATCACACAGGAACCGGCGGTGAAATCACTACAATAAAGCTTCAGGTCACAAAGACACAGTTAGAAACCTATCTCTGCCAAGACACATGTGAAATCGCTCTTGTAGTGATATAACACATCAGTCCATCCAGGTAATCCGGCCGAGTCCTTTTCTGCTTGGATATATTTTTTTGGACGATAGCTGCGGTGCTGCACTGATTCTCTTTAGCAGTCGAGGCAAACAGCGGAGTTTGTGTAAAGTGATTAGTAGTGATTTAGCAATGGCATAAGAGATTGGTATACATTTATGAAAATATCTGTTTTCTTGTTCTGTAAGAATAGCAATGCTTTTAATATTTGTGTTGTGGAGACTTTTTTTCTCTACTCATACAGACACTGTTACCACAGGGGGCTGGTCTATTCTATTGCTTTTCTCCCTCACTATTTTTCCAAAAAGTCTAAATACAGCAAGTACTTTAATTGTGTTATAAGCTATTCTCTTTCCTTTCAAGTAAAGTGTACCTCAGTCACTCCTCCCTCCTCAGACTATCTCACTCTCTCTGTAAGTGACAGACATCAGTGTCCTTTCTGACTCCTCGTCCATCACACATAGGCATGCTCTTTTCTCTCTCAGAGTAAAGGCAGACAAAATAATGGAGACAGATGCTTTGACCGAGAGAGACATGAGTGAGAAAGTTAAAAATAACTCTAATTTAATTTGACTCCTTCCACACACAAAAACACAACAGCAGTTTATTTTGAAAAAGCATCAGTTCCACTCTGAGCTGCAGTTCCAGTAGCTTTCTGAGTCTATCTGGTGGCAGCATACACAACATTTGTCCCCACTTCTCTCTCTGATGCTTTTGGCTGGAAGCTTAGAGCTGTGTAGTTCAGGTCATCTGAGTCCAGATTCTAGAAATCAAAGTATATAGTCACATATTGTATCACACACACCGCTGAGTTGCCAAAAATCCACAAACTGGTGGATTTGTAGGTTCTACAACAAAGGAATAATTTAAACTAAGATAATTTTAAATGTTAAAACATGATTTTAAATACAATCCCTGCTGTTTTTCACAATTTAAGCTAAACCTAAGACTGTTTTAAACTGATCATTCAAACAATAGGATGAAGTGCTCCACCTTACAGTAGTCACATTTGAATTTTAAAATAACAATTTTGTAACTGTTTGTTGTTTGTCACTGTACTACAAACAACTACATGCAACTTTATAACCATAACACACAGTTTATATAAATGA